GCGAAGACTGTAACAATGCAGACAGATTGATAAATAGAGGAACATACGCGTTGGGACTCTATGGAGGAAAAGAGAGTATTTCTGAGAATTCCCCATGCCTTCCAGATCTGTCAATGTTGATATTCTGAGGTTGACTGCAGCGGCTGGTGGTCAGACCTTTGTCCGGTAACACCATGATGTCCTTCTTCACAACTGGTCCCTCCTGATAACATGTCCAAAGTACATGAGACAAAGTCTCGTCACCTTCGCTTCTAAAGAGTATTCAGCCTCTCAGTACTGCTCCCAAAACAGATCCATTTGTTCTTCTGGAAGTCCAGAGTCGGTTTGATATTCTTCACCAACACCAAACCTCAAATGCATCAGTTTTCTCCAGCCTTCCTTTACTCACTGTTCAGCTTTCACAGGCATATGAGATGACTGAAAATCTCATGGCTTGGGTCAGGTGCACTTTAGTCCTCAAAGTGACACCTGAGCTTTTTAACACTTTAAAGAACAGATCTGCCAAACGCAATATGTTGTTTGATTTCTTGACTGCCGCTTACATAGCCGTTGATTGTGGATCCCAGTAAAGACAGACAACTTCAATGTGTTCTCTACTTATCATGATGTACTATTCACTGGTCCAGTTGGAAGGAGTTTTGCTTAGTTTGTGTTAAGGTATGGACCACATTGAGGACTGTATGTAGTCTGTGATCTTCATCAGTAACTGTTTTAAGTTCTCTTCACTTTCAGCAAGCAAGGTTGCGTCATCTGCATATCGCAGGTTGTTAAAGAGTCTTCAATCCTTGAGAGGATAAATGTAGTCATTTTGAAAATCTAACAAAACAATTGAGAACTGCCTGAGACATCCCTCCCTCCCCCCACTTCCTTCTCTCTCTGTTTCTTAACCATATGCTGTTATAATATTAATATATGGACTCCTGGTATGGCACTGTAGGATCAGCACTGGACTGAAAGGTACATTTGAACCACAAGGTTGACGGTTCAAACTCACCAGCTGCTACTCAGAAACCTTATACAGGATCCCTCTGAGTCACAACTGACTCGAAGCACTTAACAACAACAGAGATATCATTGCTGACGTCAGATGGATCTTGGCTGAAAGCAGAGAATACCAGAAAGATGTTTACCTGTGCTTTATTGACTATGCAAAGGCTTTTAACTCTGCGGATCATGACAAACTACGGATAGCAGTGTGGAAAATGGCTGTTAAAAACACCTGAGTGCACTGGATCATAAAGTTGGTTCAAACTGCAGTCAGAGGTTCAAGCACACCAGCCGCTCCTCTGAAACCCTATTCACTGTGGGTCGCTGTGGGTTGGAACCGACTCAACAACATTAAACAACAAGAACCTGAAATCACTTAACATTCACAACAAGCCTTTGAAGAGATTACTGTCGCTATCACCATCTTCCAGAGACATAAGATGTAGCCATTACAAAGCCGTGACTGGTTCAACATGACACAACTAGGAAGTGAGCGGTGCTCTGCTCTAGAGGCCTCTCTCCCAACACAGCAGTCTCTGAACACTGGGAACAGCCTAGGTGTCCATCAGTAGGGGAATGGTGAAATAAAATATGGTCTATCCAGGCATAGAGGAAGGTAGAATCTCCACTGAGTAGTATCCAATCTGTCTAGGCGGGGCTGATGAAAGGAGATGGGGATAGGTCTCTTGTGATACAATAGTGAATAATTGTTATCAGGACTGATTGAGAGGGTT